CCCCCCCCCCCCCCCCCCCCCCTTCATAACTGTTTTCGTTGATGATATTACGTTTTTGTTGTTATTCTCGCATATTTTTTTTGTTTCACTTAATTTACTTTACAAATAAACAAGATTTCAACTTAAAATTTAACAATTTAGACATCATCTACGACATGTTTACATAATTTGATTTTAATTCGACAGCAGGTAGCCTACAATAAATGTTTGATAAACAAGTTTTCATATGTATACAAGTATGGATATCCGGATATGTTTTTTATATTCACATGATTATAATGTTCCGCCTGCTATCTCAAAGCAGCTGTTAAGTTTGAAATAAATCTAAATAAATTAACTATTTAATATAGTTTCTCATGCGTAGACGATTTATATTCTGTTGTAGCCATGCAGTTGGAAATCACTTACCTAACAGTCAAGTCCGCCTTGTCAGCTTCGTGTCGAACTTTAGTGAAGCAGATTAGCAAAGCAAAAAAGTTGCGTTTATGTCCGATAAAAGGTTATAGTTGTGTAACTACTTTGAGATTGAGCTCGTCGTTCAAAACAGCAATTTGTTTGTTGTAAAGGATTGTCGGGTAAGTTTATGTTTTAAAGATGACAATGGTTTGGGTTAACATGTTGGGTCATAGCGCAACAGATTCTCAAGGTGGTTTAACCAGAAGGCAGTGATGCCTGTAATTTTCGGGAGAACTTCACATAACTTTCGTCTAGATCTTTCTTCTATGTGTTTGTTCTTCATTCACAATCAATGTCTTCCAGTATGTAGATAAACATTAACCTTATTGTGGAATTTTATGGGGACATTTTCGATGTTAATTTCAATAACAGAACTGCACTGTAAATCAAAATTCTCTAAAGATTTAAATTTGTATTAAAAGGTTAATCGAACGCATCACAGATATTTAAAATGATACATACTTAAAAACATAAATGTCTGAAAATCTTCGGACTAGTCACATCGTACCTAGCTAAGAAATATAATCTCAGGGAGTCTGTTTATAGTTAGACAAGAACCATTTATAAGATAAACGGAAACATGTATCAAAGATAAATAGCTAGATACACTCAATTAAATCACCAAGATGCACGAAATTAATGGCCGTTTTCCTCCCAGCTTACAAAGACGGATGAAAAATATGTAAATTATATATAATCTCGTATTTTTTTCTCTCCTTTGTGAAGAAAATGACTGTCTTTTTGTCTTCAACGAGGTGGAAAAGAGCATGTTTAAAAACGAGACACTTGTATAGAAGGTAGTTTGCACAACACAAAAAGGGAAGCTCGTTTTGAATGGATTTGCATCTATGCGCGACGAAATCTCCTAGCACATATCTATGGCGTAGTTGTGTTGCAGGCATATTCTTGTGTTAGGTACATGAAGAAATTGGGAGAAAGGAAATCTATTAGTCAGAGCATGTAGCTGATGGCGTCTTAATCCATAACACACAAAATTATAGTATGTTTTAGTCAACAAACACACCTCGGTGACTTTAAAGAGCGCTTTAATACACGTGTGTCTCAGTTGCATTAGTGAATGCGACTGGCGTGGTTACAGTCGCGCGCTGCTGTTTAGTAGGATACGCGTTACCGAAACACTCTCGACATTTGAGTATACTAAGTGAATGCTATGTGAGAACGCACCATACAAAATGTTTTTCATCCTGTACCTGAGATCATCTGCCCAGGGTATTTAAATTGGAAGCGTTACAGGTTTATCTTCAGGTTGTGAAACAGCTTCTCTTTAAATTGTTTACTTGGACGGTAAACCTGCACATAAATATATCTGTTCTGTGTGATGTGAACGAGAAAATTAGAATAAGGCTTTTAGTGTAGATCAGCATTGAGGAACACCTGTGAGTGTCACCTGTACACCTCATTACTCTACACTGGGATTAACATTTTAAGTGATCTTGGGAAAAAAGAAAACTTTTCATATTGTAGAGAAAATATTTCGAAGAATTGATTCATCTCGCCTTGAAACATCCGAACAGAAATGTAGCCGGGAAATTATAAGTGTTTACATTTGTTGTTGATAGAAATACTCGAACATCCTGTAAAGAACATGTCGCTTTCACGGTAAGTAATATTTATTTATATTTTGTTGTTTTAGCTGTTCATTTCTTATCATTTTTATGGAGTATTTGATCATTATGATTATATTACCAAAATGTCCCTTACTTACGCTTGATTCTTTAAATAATATTAAGTCAATGACTGGTATTGTACATTCTTTTATGTACAAAGAAAAAAGTTTTTACATTCAAAATATCAACTAGCATTATATTCTTATCATGCTCATATATCCGTCTTGTATTGAACAATCAGCAGATACAGATAACTCTGATATGTTGATACACAATACCGTCGTCGTCTATCATTTCATATGCTATGTATGTTTATTTATCTGTACGCACTTTATCAATATCAATGCTTGCTCCGTCACATCATTGGTTCTCACGCACAAGAAATTTCACGATATACAGGTCCATGTAATGTAGGACCCTACTCCGTTAAAACTTTGATCTGTCCCCTGTTAATAGGCTACATGTATCGGCGGCCGACCGGCATTTCGTATGGGACATGTGAAAGGAAAATATAAGTACCTCAAATGACAATACGTAATGCTTTTTAAAAATATATATTCTTTATATCTATAGAAAACCACGCTTATCTTAAATACAATGACAACGATTTGTTTAAAACGAGGTATTATATGTCATCTTATAAGAAATTGTATCATGAATATCATACTTTATGACGAATTATGCCTACTTACCTGTTAGGCGCCCTTTACAAATTGTGCCTACGTATTTGTCAGATCCCCTTACGAGGTATGCCTGCTAATTTTCAAGTCTTCTGGATTTTTTATAAATGTGTATTGGTACATTCGCAATTAGCAAAATGTACTTGTATTGTATCGTTCTATAAACATCGCTAATGACATAACCGACAAAAGGACGAGCCGAGAATATCATCTGTCCGATACCTCTGCCAAGAAGTTAATGTTCTTTGAAATGAGCATGTTTTCAACACTGCACCGGTTCCCGAGTATTGTTTCCCTCCCATCACGTCTTGAAACACTTTAATCAGTCTAATAAGTTATTAACATAAATACTTTCAATTAACATACTTAACAATTAAAATAGTTACCGTCGCCAAAAAAGTTCATCTTAGAAATGTATCTATGATTTCTTAGCTACCACACTGAATACAGAAAAACTGTCGCTCACTCAAATATCCGCCTTTACCGATAAAATCCGTGTTCACACAATGTTAATTTCGTCCTACACGGGTAATTACTATATATAGCATGTTGTGTACATTTATTCGCTCTCGTGATAAACTCATCCTAATTGGGTGACAGGGAAAAAGTGAAAGTTAAAGTGGGGCGAAAATTTCCCGGAATACAGAATGTAAAATGTGACGGACAGTCGCTGGCTATTTATAGCCGATGCGCATGCATTACCAGTGCCGAAAAGCATACGTATATTGTGATATATTTACATTTGTCTATCTTGCTAAACGAAAAATAATAAAATTTTAAGGTAACATTTGAACCATTATGCTATTATCAAGTTTGACATTTATACATGACAAAATGAATCGTAGAAGTGATAAAATTCACGTTAAAGTCAATGTAAATAATGTATGTCTTTACCAGATACTGTACTGCAGGATGATGTGGATGCATTAAACGTAATATCACATCTTGATATCATATAACCTGCGCTGTGCTCAGAGTATAAAGTAGGCTAAATAGAAAGAAATCTAACAACAGCCGTATACATCATTAATTCTGTCCTAAAACCAACCTTCTTGTTACTCGCTAAAGCCAATTTATATACAATCAAAAAAGTCTAAACATTCAGAATGGTACTCGGCATGAATCATTTCCAAAATGTCCTCGAAATCATTGAAAACATGTGGAATATGAATTAAAAATCATTGAAACAAGGAATGGTTTCAAGAATTGATTCACTGACTAGAACAAATGAGACCCTGTACTGTATTCCCCCTCAGAGGTCTCTTATCGTGTCACTAAGGAATTCTACCAATATTAATGAAATAAATAATTTCTGAACTCCCTGTAAACAATATCCTAAGAGTTGTTCACAGACCAAGTCAATTGAATTTATGAAAAACTAAGTTCCTCATTTAACATAACTTGGAGAAAGGAATGGAAGGCAGCTTACCCAACCATAATCAGAGCTGTCTCTTTACAGCAATCACCTTAAGGATAATGGAAACAACTGAAATGGGGAAATTTACATTGGTGCCAGTCTAGAGTTACTACAGTCTTTTTATGTTGGTGTTGATCACACATTGAAGTTGTCAAATTATACTAGTGTGTCACTGAATCTTCGATATATTGTTTTGTGGGCCTGTCCATCATTATTTGCTCATTTGAGACTTTTTGTGATATAATTATAGCATGTGTGTTATAATTGTCTATCTATATCATTTCCACGTCATTTACAAGTCAATATAAAAGAATACGAAGTTGCACGCTACTAAGTGAATGCAACAAGGTAAACAACAGGTTAGATTAACACTAGCTTCAATCTTTGACTAAATTCTCTCCATTTATTAAAATGGAGCAATCGTGAGTTAAAATTGGTCCCTCTCACTTTTCCATTCCTGCCCTGTGCATCTGTATTCGTTCTTTGTCAGACTGGCACATGTTTCATTGTTTTACCTGGTAAACGAATGTACTAATTTGGTTTTAAGTAAATGTGCATTCAGCAGCGAAACGGCATGTACACTGTACATGTATAGCGTCGACTATGTGTCTGGATATATACTCATATTATGTATCAGTAGGCGTACGAATCGGCGTCAGTGAAGGCAGTATTTGAAAAAAATGTGATGTTGAAATAGCTTTGTCATTCATAAATTCGACATGCGCTTTAAATGAACTAAGTGCACCCGGAAGAAAAAAAAATTCATAAATTGCATAAATGGCTACTTTGAAAGTAAGTTGTTTATCGATATTTGATGTCACCTGGTTCAAATTAGGTGTGGAAGAGAACTGTATGCTATAAATATCATAATAAGCATTTAATGTGGCTTCTGTAGGGAAAGTTGCAGTAATCGACATTGATCCGAAGCTATTTTACTAAACTTTTAAACCATCTATTTCTTTCTTGTCTTTGTTTGCCCTCATTCCATACGTGGATTCGTTAACACTAGGTGTTACTTGACCTGTGTTTATTTGTTTTGATGCCCAAATCACTAATACACTAAGGCGAAATCGGAATTTAAAGTCAATAAAAACCAGAACAACGGACCGAGGAGATATCGCAAGAAAGAAAAAAAGCTCGAAGCTCGAACACAGAACGGGGAAAGAAACCCGAAATTCCGAAAGTCTATGCGTATCTTGCACCCCATGTGGCACTCGTTATGATGTCAAATCCATGAAATGTAGATTACTAACGATGTAGTACAAAATCAACAAGCGTTCTCGTTAGCATTCTTCACAAACGTTTTTGTGTTATATAACACTTCACATTTTGCTCGACAAGAGACGAGGAAATGGAGAGAGAAAGAGAAAAAAACATTGGAATAAAATTAGTGTTATTGTTACTGATAAAAGGAAGATATTGAATCAGTAAACCGCCGTTGTAGGAATTCTATTATAAATTAAAAGAAATATGATTCCGCACCATTTTTAACGTTTTTTTTTAGATTAATCTCGAATTCATTTAACAATTCCTGGAGCTCTTATTAATCGAGAAAACAACATGATATAATGCATCCCTTCTGGAGCCACACATTAGTTATTGTGTCATTGTGTTAGTTATATCACAAGATACAGGTGTTTTTGACGAGTGTCTTGATGAGATAACAGCATCAGTACCAGGAGTGGTGATAGTGGATAATGTACATCGGTATATAATATTAAATAATGACACCCTTGGCACTCAGAACGACATTGACCTAATTTCAATGCTAATGCGCATTTGTGTTTTGGAAGGAGTCGTGCATTTTAGTATACATTGTAATACATGCTTTCATATCTATAAATACGACTGTAGACGAGATCTGCTGTAAACCTAGATACATGCACCATGCCCGCGTTATATTTGCAACTTTGCTCACGGCCAACAATTTCCCTTGATATATAACCGAACCATTTATAACGCTTAACATTCGCTGTACAAACGGTGGCAGTATAACGATGGTTGACGAGCCGCTAGTATGTCACAATGTGTATGATCAATTTCAACCAACATATATGTAACATTTACTACCAAAAACCAAGTCAGCGATCTCTGTGTGCTGGTTTGGGAAATTAATAAACTGTTGCATCTCGTTGCATGTTATCGCACGAGTCGACCAATATGGGACATCCGAATTTATCGGGTTTTTTCTTCTGTGTGTTTTTGTTTAGGAAACAATGAAGAAACAAAATTGAATCTGCTACCTCCATTACTCTGTCCTTTCTTTTCTCTCTTTCTTCTCGGCTGTGTCACTCCAGTTACATGTCTTTTATATTATCTCAGATGTTGCCTGAACATTAAAACACAAAACAAATAAACCCTATATTCTGGTATTGAGTGCAAATTTAAATGTAATGGTTTGAAAACCATAAATACTAGCAATTGTTTTTGCGCATTAACCTAGAAGTTGTATCAGATGAATGTTTCCTTGAAGGCATACAATGCAAAGTCAGCAATGATGTGTGATTATTTGGTATGAAAACAAAGTTAAAGTATTCATATTTCAACAAACGGAATGTTATTGCAGATGTTGTTGTTAGTTAAGTGGTATCTTCATCGGTGTGGTTATCTACTTTATTAACAGTGTTGGCAACAGTTTATTTTCATATTCATTGTAATGAAACCATCTCTGGTAAGTTCGTCTCATTGGATCTATCCACCAGCCAAAACAGAACGAATTACATCGAAACCTTCTTCATACATAGACGTGTATTCTAGCATAAGGCTGAGGTATGTTGATATCAATCCGCGAGTAGGTTTGTTTGTTTGTTTGTGAACGGTAAAACCCTATTCATTATAGATGATAGGTGAAGTGACGTCAATGTCATTTTGTGATAGAACGTATTTAAGGGATAC